GGAAAAAAACATCAATATTATAAGCAAAATTCCAGTTAGGCTAGGATATTTTAACTCTGAGAATTTGAAGTAGGCAAGAGTGAATATGTATACATTTGGATACCTTAGATCTTTATTTAAAATACATTTATTTGAGGGCAGGTGTTCATAAACGTGTATTTAATTGTGACAATTTTTCTTTAGGTGAAAAGCAAGCAGCCACGCATGTTAGTCTTGATCAAGAATATGATTCTGAATCCTCTCAACAGTGGCGAGAACTTGAGGAACAAGTTGTGGCTGTGGTCAACAAAGGAATAATTCCATCCAATTTTCATCCCACACAATACTGTTTGAACAGTTATTCAGATAACTCAAGATTTCCACTTGCAGTTGTAGAAGGTGATATACTTGAATTTTTATTTATGTTTTTTTGCTTCTTTTCCTTACAGCACATTCAAGATAACTTGCTGTATGCCACATGTTACTGGAGGCTGAGGATACAAAGATAAATTAAGAACTCATTATTTACTGAGCTACATTTATAGAACCAAACAATGGGGGTTCTAATATAGACAAATGCAGTGTAATGTTGGAATATAGAAGAGGAAATAACATTCTCTAGTACAGAGAAATTGGTGAAGTCCTCTAGATGAGCTTATTTTTAAACAGAGTTCTGAGTAAGTGGGCATTCATAGGGTGATAAAGGATAGTCTAGGCAGAAATGTAGAACTAAGAAAGAAAGTCCTGTTTAGAAAATTGAAGCTTAGGATAAAGGCGTGAGGTTTATTAAAGTTATTAATTTAGGCCTGTTTTTTATAGAACCAATTACAGTGGAAGTTGCTTTTAGAAACCCTCTGAAGGTTCCACTTTTGTTGACTGATCTGTCATTGCTTTGGAAGTTTCAACCTAAGGATTTCAGTGGGAAGGATAATGAAGAAGTTAAAGAACTAGTAAGTTATTAAAAGGTATTTGTAATCATGTTTCAGTATAACAGATGTACTAATAAAATTTCAACTTCTGTGCAGTGAGCTATACTTAACTCCTTTTTGGCTTATTTTTTCTTACTTATAATAAAAATCGTGATATGTGCTTATTAAGAATTGAAAATACAGAAAAACATAAGGAATAAGAGTAAAACCATCTGTCTTCTCAGTATTTAGAAATAACCACTTAAACATTTTGCTGTGTGCCTTTCCAATCATTTTCATTTGTTTTTCCCTCATATGTTGCTTTTTCCATTCTTTGTTGTTTTATATGCATATTATAATGTTAAAATGTCTTAATATTTTGTATTTACATAATATTCCATCATGTGGTTAATTCATAAGCTATTCATTCTATCATTGATAGTTGTTTTGGAGATTCCATTTGTTTACTATCACATTTATTTTGTGGTGAATATTTTTGTGCAAAGCTTTTTATCCTTCAGATTATTTCTATAGGAAAGATTCCTAGGCATCAAGTGAGTTGATTTTAGGGAATAAGTATTTTGATACCCTGTTGGTTTCACAAAAGGTTGTACCATCCAACTCCTCATCTGCAGCATATGAGATTGGATATCTTATCTTTGCAAATTAAGAAATATTATTTACAGAAAAGACTTTTGATTTGCTAGGTAAAAAAATACCATCTTACTATTTTATTTTCCATTTCATTAGTTGTTAGTGAAGTTGAAGCTGTTATATTTACTCTTGAGAATTGTCTATTCACAACCTTCATATATATATTTATCTTTTTGTTTCCTTATCTGTAATAAGCCCTTTATTTATAATATTTAAGGTAGTTATTTTTGAAGCAGAAGTAATCTGAATAAATAATTTTGTTACCCAGTTGATTGTAAGAGAAAAAACTTGAACAAACACACGTTTTTACCTTCTAATTTATTATTCACCAATATCTATTATGTAACTTTTACTTTTTTATACTATCTTGCTAAAAGCTTTAATAATGTGCTAAGAGATTGTTTTGGAACGGAGAAATACCCCAATATTTTGGTGCTGACATCTTTGGATTTTTTGAAGATTGCTTTATTTAAAGTCCTGCTTATTACATTCATTGAAGACACTTTGTAATTATTTATATTTATTGTTAATAGTTTGAATGATTGAGATTTCCCAGGCTCTATTCTAACTTAAATTTTGACAACTTCTGTGATTTTTCTAATATCTTTTGGATGCCTGGATTGCAGATTAGAAGAGTATGAACTGTTAAACTTGGAAAAGGGTTTTTAAAAGACTTATTAGCCTTTTAAGTGTATTAGTGTG